CAAAGTGAGTTTGGTTGTGGAGGATAGGAAAAAGCGAGACCTAAATATAATACCTACTAATTTAGCGATTTTTTTACATACCTAGGTGATATGCTGTTTCCAGGTGAGATGATCGTCAATATAGACCCCAAGGAATTTAGTTATATCAGATTGTTGTACTGATGGGTTTACCTTCAAAGGACTGAGAGAGAAATGCTTGAGTTAAATTTCTTCTGTCTGGGTTTATAAAATGACGTAGTTAGTTTCCGTTGTATTAAATGAAAGCTTATTACATTCTAGCCAAATATCAATATTTTGGAGTTCATCATTAAGTACGGATTCTAAGAAATTTGGGTTTGAGTGAGAATAAATTAAAAGATGCTGGTGTCATCAGCGAAAAGCAGAGGGTCTGTTAATTCAGAGGCATCAGGGAGGTTATTTATGTATGGAATAAACAATAGGGGGCCTAACATCGAACCTTGAGGGACACTACACTTGATGGTAGGAAAACACTCACCGTTGTTTCGTGTTGGTCGATTGTAGAAGCAATTTTACTAACGAACTGAAGCAATTTACTAACCAACTAACGAATTAGCGCGTGCTAAGCGATTGTATTAATTTTTCGAAAATTTTGGAAATATTAGACAACTGTGAGTTTTTTATACAACATTGATTTAATATTCTTTTAAGAGTTGATACTTCTTTATTCTTTGCTTTGATCTTTTGATACAATTTACTATGATCGGAACTAGCTCAACTCTGAGTGAAAATGTTGTTCACCGACTCATAAAGGTGACTCTCAAAGCTGCCTATGTACTTTCGACTTTACCCAGTTACAAAATCATTTTCTTCCTTAAATTTCTTACATTTCCAGTCTAGTTCTGGTAAAACAAAAACAAGATTGGCAATATAAAAAAGTTTAAAGAAACCGTTGCATCATTGCACTTAAAAAGATAACTAAAATTAACGGAAACAGTCCTTGACGTTTGTTACGTAACAACAGAATAAAGAGGATCAGTCCAGGAAGAAGGGGCGGACACAAGTGCTGACTCATGCTAAGCCACGTGTTCTTAGAACGAGTTATATAATTAAAATTTACGTGCAGAGGGCGGAAAATAAAAGATAAGGTCACCTTTAAGAAAGAGTTGTTTAAGGTGCCAAATTAACATGTAAAAAAATGTTTTCTTGATCGTGAATTTGAAGTAGAATTAATTGGATCTAAAAATGAGCCTGAAAATAGTCGAAAGTATAAGAAGTAGGAATGTCCTGGGCTTGCTGTACGAGATTAACTTTTACCACAGCGACTGACTCTCTCTTTTATCAAACAGATGAACGTCATTGGAATATAGCTTACCACGAGATAACCGAAATATTCTACCACAAGTTCTAATCATCATAGAAATAGAACATCTGCTTTCATGTCAAATTCACGACCACATTAA